CCCTTGCCCCCCAATTCTGTCCCCTATCCCCTGAGGTGGGGGGGTGTGAGCAAGCGACTGTGTTAGGCCCCTAGCCCACTGCTAGCCCACTGCAACCCAGTGAAACCACCACAGGGCCTCAGCTCACAGGGTTGCACAGGTACCCTCAAATGCCATGCATCCCTGCTGCTGTTCCCCAAGAGCCACGTCCCTCACATGCTTCGATGGGCTGAGTGTCACAATACAGAGCATCTCAGTGCTCAAGCTTAAAACGTTTTATTTTGAGAGACAGATGAGCTTCATTCAGTGAAACCCCCTTGGGTTTTACCCCAGTATTTGGTCCTCTGTGGGATGAGATGGCAACAACTCAATGGCTGAAGAGGACTAGGGGCTTGGGGGAAATTTGCTTATCATCGGTGCATGAACTAAAGCTTATTGAGAAAAGCTTTCTGGGAGCTTTTCAGCAAAGCATCTGTCCTTAAGGAATTGTAAAACACTCAGACTAGGGGCATATAAAAGAAATATAATAAAATAATCAAAGTTAGGCAAGAGTGATCATCATGCAAATCCAGTTTCTTTTCTGCTCTTGTGCTTGAGGATGTTCAGAGCCTGGCTGCAGCCTGGCATTTTGCAAATCCCTTCTGCTACAGAGAAATCCAGCTCAAAAGAAGTCCTGAGCCCAGCTAGGTCCCAAGGCCAGGAAAACACTCATGCTACGACCAGGTCTTGTTTAAGGGAAGGATTAAAAAAGAAAAAGACAAGCAACCCGTGTCCTGGGGAGTAAAAATATCCTCAAACGCGTCTGGAGTCAGCTTTAAAGGGCTTTAAAATAGCTTATTTGGTCACACAAAAGCCTGAGCACTTTCCCCAGCATCACCAACTAGCTGAAGCATTCAAATTCAAATCCAAGCATTCCCTTTTGTCTACTCAAAGGCACACCAGCCGACAAGTTACAGGTTTCCCTCTGTGAGTTGGCTTTTGAAGAGGAAAACACCTTGATGCATGTCAAAGGCTCAGGGATGACAGCCCAAGCCTGGCTGCTACACACCAACACTTTCCACCCTCCTTAAGAGCAAAGGGTGTAAAAATGAGGAGAGAGGGAGAAAACTAACTGCTTTGCCATGGGCTCACACGCACAGCAATAATTTCTGCAGCAATATGTGATGCTGATGGGTCAGGTTAAAGATGGGTTGAGGGCACTGCACTGTGGCGAGGCCAGGACCCAGATGTTTGCTTCACCACATAACACAGCAGGTTTCTTACCAGTAAACGGTGCTCCTACCCATGGCTAAAGAAATCTAGAAGAGGAAGAAAGGAATTTTTTTTCACTGGAACATACATCAGCCCCACTCTCCATATCATGGATGTTTCCACATCCTGAAGTATTTGCATTACCTACTGAGGGAGATGTGCTGCACCTGGAGTGCTGCCTTGGTCAGTACTGAAAGCGTGCACCTACCATAGCTCAAATATGAAATCCTGAGGGTACTTGCAAATTGGACTCGGAGAACCTTTTACCACATAAGGGGTTATTAAAGCATCCTGGCTTGCATCAAAAATAGTGCGGTCAGTAGGACCAGGGAAGTTCTCTTACCCTTGTACTCGGCACTGGTGAGGCTGCACCTTGAGTACTGGGTTCAGTTTTGGGCCCCTCACTCCAAGAAGGACATGGAGGTGCTGGAGCGTGTCCAGAGAAGGGCAACAGAGCTGGGGAAAGGTCTGGAGAACAAGCCTTATGAGGAGCAGATGAGGGAACTGGGGTTGTTTAGCCAGGAGAAAAGGAGGCTGAGGGGAGACCTTCTGGCTCTCTCCAGCTCCCTGAAAGGAGGGGGTAGAGAGGTGGGGGTGGATCTGTTCACCCAAAGAACAAGTGACAGGACAAGAGGAAATGGCCTCAGTTTGCACCAAGGGCAGTTGAGATTGGATGTGAGGAAGAATTTATTTCCTGAAAGGGTTCTCAGGCATTGGAACAGGCTGCCCAGGGCAGTGGTAGAGTCCCCATCCCTGGTGGTATTTAAAAGACAGGTAGACAAGGTGCTCAAGGACATGGTTTACAGGTGGAATTCGGAGTGTTGGGTTTATGGTTGGACTCGATGATCTTAGAGGTCTTTTTCCAACCACTATGATTCTATGATTCTATAAAGAAAAAAAGGAAAAAAGCCCAAACCACTGGTAGCTTCCAGTCTAATATTTTTTCATGGAAAATGTTTCAGGTTAAGTGACAGAAATAGAATTTGACTAGAAGATGCAGTGAGGGTCAGGAGCAGGTGCTGTGCCTTTACGCTGCATCACCACCACAATGAGTCTTGTAACAGAGTTTTTTCCAACAGGGAAGAGCCAAAAACTAGCTGAGATCTACTGTATTCATGTTGCACTGTAAACAAAATTCAACGCCCTGCCTGGCGCATCCCACTTGGCTGCACCGTGCATGCTGTGCTCATTTGCATAGGGGGCTCATTAAACACCGGCTGAAGCTCAGGCTCAGTTGCTAAACTGAACAGATGTCATCAGTCTCGCTGCCTGTCATACACACAAGACATCTACCCCCAACTATAAATAGTCATTCAGTGCTCCCTTCTTAACTGATTTGGAAACATTTCGCATGAGGTCAGACGGCCGATTAAACAGGAGAGCTCACAGCATGCTCCAGGCCACCCGCAGACCAGCTGCTCAGCGGAGAGCCCTGACGTATATCTCTCCTCACCACCTCGTCTGACATTTATTCCAAGGTGAGGTGGAAGCTGTGCTGTCTGGGCACACAAAGTCCAGAAAGCCCTTCTTCCTGGATGCTTTCACCAGTGGAGACCTACAAAGCCTCAGCAGCAGATCCCATGGGGTACACACAGCCTGCCAGGGCTGGTGCCACAATACAACCACGCAGCATGAATATTTTCTTGTTGCAACCCTGCATTGGCTGCTTTCCATCCTAGTTACCTCTGGGCCAACGGCTTTGTTTCCTTCCAACTTCTGTACTTGGAGCTGGCCTCTCTGTCCCTCGTCGAGCACAGGTCTTGCCTCCAACACCTTTGAGGATGATGGAGCATCTTCTGTCTGTCTGCTGATCACCACAGGCTGCAGGGCAGCCTCGCTCACAGCCCCTTCCTTGGCTCCTGCCTCCTCCTTCTTCCCTGCTGCTGGCTTCACTTGCTTATCAAAATACATCTCTTTCAAAGAAAAGTGCACGTCACCATTGATTTTAGTGTCCTGATTCACAGCTTTCCCAGGCTGCTTGATTTTTGGATTTTTTTCTGCTTCTTGATCACTTGCCACCCTCAAACGTGTGCTCCTGCGTAAGGGGACAGGAGGGGCAAACCTTGGATTTGGAGAGGGGTTGGCCCTGTCTCGCCCACTTTCTTCTTGCTTGGAAACTTCCTGCTTTGCTGCTGAAGGAGCCTCCACCTTCTTTTTCTTTTTAGCTGCAGAGTCTTTCGCCATTGGCTTAGTCACTAGGTCCTCCACTGTCTCATAGATGTACGTGAGAAAGCTATTCCCATTCTCCTCCACACTTTCCAAAGAGGTATCTCCATTGGTGGTCACCTCTGCTTTCAAAGGTGTTAACAGTGTGTTTGGAAAGCCTGTCATTGCATTGACTGGCTGCTCCTTTGGATCAGCAATATTCTCATGCAATCTCGACTGAGAATCAGCAACGTGCACTTTTGCTGCATCCTCCTTCTCCCACGAAGAGGCTCCCGACTGGAGATCCCTGGCCAGTCTCCGCTTTCTCTGGAGCCGATCGGGGCTCATACCCTGCAACTTCTCCACCTCCACGTTCTCTTTCCCTCGTTTCTTGCCTTGTTCTATCTCTCGTAGCTTTTCTTCTGCTTTTCTCTTAATTTTGTCAAACCACTTCTGATGGATTTTGAACTCCGTCATGGTTCCCACTTCCAGCACACCAGAGCAGGACACGATGCCTTTGTGATTTCTAGCTGAGGCCTGGTAAATCCCTGCATCTTCTTCTCGGCACCTGGAAACCAAAAGCTCTGCATGAGACCTGCCCGTCCTCCCCAGGCACTACCACTGGGCACACAGGCATGCATGCTCTCCCACTTGTTCCAGAGGGGCCAGAAGATGAAGACATGGCCCTTGAGGTGCCCACAGTAGGTCTGGAGGCCTGGGGCTGGTCTCTCTCGCCAGGCTTTGCCTGTTCTCAGCACTAGCAGATAAGCAAGGTGGATGTTAAATCAGTGCCCAGCTTCCTTCCTGGGCTGTAACTCAGGAGAGAGGGCTGTGATGGAGGAAGAACAGCTAGCACCAGGCTTCCCAACTGTTCTTGGCCACATTCCTCTGCAGGATCTTCTCCTCTCAGCTCTTCAAAGCCTACATGACATTTCTGTTCTTCCTCCACCCTACTGCTTTACCAAAGCCTTCCCACCCCACTTCACAGGCACTAGCACAAGCATGTGTATGCTGTCTCTGTTGGATGCCTGGCCCATGGAGATCCCTGCTCCTGCAAGAGGTGAGTCAGCCTCTGACAGAAACCTGGAGCACACCTGGGGTGGCAGAAAAACCCAGGCATCCACGAGGATGACAGGACTACCAGCAGTACCCCCACTCTATACTTTCAGACAGTGCAGCACCTGCCTGACATCCCAAATCCAGGACTCCAGGTGCGACAGGTCTCTTACTTGCTGGGGACATGGTGTGCCTGGCTCTCTAGAAACACAGTCCTCATTTAAAGTTAAAAGAAGCTGGTAGTCAGGACTGAATAACAGAGGCCCTTGGCTTCAGCAGTTGAGTGCTGAAGCAGCCCTTTCCTTCCCTGACCTCACCATGAGAGCTAGGAAAGGCCCTCCTGGGACAGGGCTGCAGCCCTTCCCCCTCTTTGCCTTTGCTCAGGACACTCCTATGAACCATTTCTGTCCTTGTCCTGCCTGATCCCCTAGACCATTACCCTGGAGGCAGCCAGGTCTTTCCCATCCAGCCCTAATGCTCAGCTCCTGTCTGGTGCAGCCACAGCACACACTGCTACCAGCACTGGAAGGCTCCAGTGAGAGGAATCTCTCCTGATCTTTCCCTTGCTTCCAGCATAGCAGCTATCCCTGGATGCACTCATGGATCTCATACTGATGTGATCAGGGGGTCACCAGAGTGAAGAGGGAAGGGACAGCTGGGAACATTGCAATAGGAAGCAGAAGGGGCCAGCATGGGTGTAGGGGGGAGATCACTACTGACAGCCAGCTTCTCTAAATACTGAAAACATGCTCAGAGCTCCCATCACCAAATCTAACCATTCTCCAGCTTCTTTACTCACTTGTAAAGCTGGAGGGTGTGGCGATTTCCATGACGGAATATCTCATACTTGGGTAAGCCACAGTAGCGGTCCATCTCTTCATTGTCCTTATACCATGTCACCTCCGGTTGTGGGTACCCTGGGGAGGAGATGGATGGTACATCAGGGTGTGAAACACTGCCATGAGTAGCACAGCAAGCCTGGTCCCGTGGGGACAAGGTATCAACAGCAAAACAAAATGCTCCGGCAGAATAGGATACATGTTATTCTGGTCTCACTGCATTCTTTAAATCACACTGCAGAAAAAGTATTGTGAGTGGAAACCTGATGGGCTTATCCAAGTTTTTATCACTCCTAGGAATAGGGCTATTTTTGAGAAAAAAATTCCAGCACTTCATTCCTGAATAGAGAGGAGTGGATCACGCGATCATCTCCTGTAACACTGGCTGGAAGGAGAAGGTAAGCATACTGTCACTTTTATATGAAGAGGCATGTTTTGATGAGAACAAGGCTAAGCTTAGAAAACAGGCATTCACCACTCCATGGAGCTCACAGCATTTCACGAAGTGTCACAGCCTGTAAGCTGATCCAAAAGTTTCCATTGAACAGAAACAACCTTGATTGCATCACAGCCAGTTTGGTGTCCTACAAATGTCACTTGACAACAGATGTCACCTGCCTTTTCAGTAGAATGACATCATGACGTGTGTGACTGGCTGGCTATCAGGCTGGGCACACAGCCACATTCCCCGCCACCGATGGGGCGGTGGTGGATCTGCAGGAGTGCCCCACATGGACCAGAGCTAGCCACAGCCCCCATCTCCCACCAATGGCAGGTCTAGCTCAGAGTAAGAGCAGTTTTCAGGGGTAAACCACTTGCGTCAGTGGCCAACATTGGTTCCTGTACCTCAGACAGGGCTCCAGGCACAGCCAAGCTGACCCTAAGGGCATGGGATAAAAGTTTCAATGATCACGTCATGCCTCCACTTAAGTTGATGCGCTCAACAGTTGTTCAAAGCCCCAAGGCAGGTATCCGAAACTCATCTCCTGCAAATGCCCCTGCTGCCTTTCAATGCTGTTGAAGTGAAGGAGTCCAGCACACTGCTCACCTCCACCAGTCCCCAAGGGTCTCCTCGTCAGTCCCTAGCACCATGAAGGCAGGGGTCAGCTCTCATGGCCAACCCTTGCAAGGGCTAGTGAGGGCACTCCAGGAATATCCAAAGCATCCAGACTCAACAGCTCTGAAGTAGAGAGAGGTTCCTCCCACTCCCATCTGCTCTTTAGATGCACCCCCTGTACCCATCCCCCTGCTCCTTGAGGCTCTCCAGTGTCCTCTGGCTTCTCAAGGGACTTAGCCTACTGACCCAGATGTGGTGGGAGAAATAATCTCAGAAGAGTTTTACTTTTCTGCTCTCCACCGTGAATGACAGTCATTCCCATAGCCCAGTCACCCTCACAGACCAGATCTTACTCTATTCTCTTTCATTTTCTCACTGAGGTCTCTTACTCTGCACTGCCCCTGGTATCTACCCTCTTCATCCTCACTGCATGTACATTTCTCTCATCCTTTGCTGTCTCATTCCCCTCCCCAGTTTTGCCATCTGCAGCTTTGGCTTTCTGTTGGTTAGTGCCTCATTCCTCCTCTTCTGCAGGAAGCCAAGTCATTACTTTCTCCTGAAGCCCTTTATGCAAGTCTCTCTATCCTCCTTTCAGCCCCCATCTACTCTTTGCTGCTGCTCTGGCTTTCCAAATCAAGTTTCTAGTAAAAGGGAAAAGCCCTCAAATACTTGTGGCTGAAGTCAATGAGTTACTAACTGGAGGAGGCCACAAGAGTGTCCCAGTGATGGGATAACCAGGGATTGATGCTGCTGCTTTTATTTTCCATAAATATTAGCTCCTGACAATACTTGGCAGCAGGAACCTGCACTGAACGAGCCCGTGGTGGTTTCTTTCTGCTCCAAGGATGAAGAACAAAACAATTTTCATACTCAGCTCACACTCTGCCCAGAGCAATCCTACCCCTCCCAAGGGCTGTTCTGCACATGAGACCTTCAGGAGGCCCCCACTATTCGTAACACAGGGAGCTGGCAGGTAGATTTTCCTAATACCCTGTGAACAGCAATCATAGCACTTCATTCCGGGAACTGCAAGCATATCATTTCCAAGAAGCCCTGGGATGTCCCCGCCCCGTGGCCTCTGCAGCTGATTCCCTTTCCCAGCTGACGTCTTCCAGAAAGAGCTGCAGTTTCTATAGAATCACAGAACCATTGAATGTTGTGAGTTGGAA